CTCTCCACTTCCCATTATCTGAAAGTCCAGTTCACAACTACCTACCTAGTCTGAAAGTCTTCAATAAATATTCAATCTTTTTGGAGGCAACTGCAATTTTATCTTCAAATATAACGTTTTCTAATATATTAAGTACAATGTACCTGTGATAGCTCAATTATGGTTCTAGAGTCCTTTTTGATTTCCCTCAAAGTACTCCCATTTTTAAACTAGTCTCCAATAATAGCAGGGAAATTTCTTACTGCTACAGTGCCACCTACTGGCAGGCCCTTCAGAGGCTGGCTAGGTGCAGCTCAACTTTGACCCACAGAGTGTTGGAGATCCCTTCTGAGCTCTGGTTTTATTAAGCCCCAGCTTCATTGCTATTTTGATCACTTTTCTTGATAGCTATTAAGGCTCCAGCTATGGCACAGAGTCAGCAAGTGATAAAGAAAAGACGTGCTTTTATTCTTACTGTTACCTTAAATTAGCCCTGACTTCACCGACTTTGATTTTCTCTGGTCTATAACGGTAGCAAGAGCTCCAGATTGTGTGGACAGGGGTTTGGATCTGGCGAAAATAACTTCGGGAGCTTCCAAAGGTCCTGAAAAATTGAAAAGAAAAAATCCCTACTTAAACATTATACTTAACCTTGGACAAAAGGACAAGAAGTAAAACCTAAAACTAGGTTAAGAAGATCTTTTTTCCCAGGTGCCGCCGCCTTCACCTCCTGCCAAACACCAAATCTAGTTCTCTCTTGGCCTCTACCAGGGCAAGAGTGGGTAAGGCATTCCAATTCTTACCCTCTAGTCCTAAGGAGAGAAGAATGTTTTGGAATAATAAAGGGCACAGGAATCCTACTAGGGCAAACACCTCAATAGCTTTATTTATGTTTTATTTTCAATTAATTACACTCCAGATCCATCCAGGAGCTCAAACAATTATATAACACACAATGAGAAGAACAAGGGTCTAGTAGTGGAAAACAGGTCATTTTGCTGAGAGCTGCCAGGCAAATGATTTCATGGTGATGCTAAAGTAAGTTCTGAATCCTTAGGGTTTAAGCTCCATTGGGTTTACTTTATATTAATATAAGTTTCTATCTCTTGCTGTCTCACTGAGAGACAATCTAGTGGGCAGGCAGAGTCACAATGCTGTGCCTATCCCCATAGAAAGAGCACCAACGCTACAGTGCATTTTTTCCCAGGGCCTGAAACAATAAACATTTGATAAGGGCACTGCTTCTCATTTCTTGTAAATGAAATCCATCACTGAATTTCAAAAGATGGCAAGGTTTTTCCCACCAACTACAGACCAAAGAGAACCTGAAAGAGGGGTGGGGGAGGAGGGAATTTGGGTTCCAGGCAGAGGTGAAGGGTAGCCACTTGTGGCTTCTAACCTCAAAATAATGGCAGTTTACACAGTCAAATAAGCATGAGAGAAATGCCAGTTATCTAATTCGTTGCTCCCTGCTATTTTAGTTCACCATCACCACTTCAGAACTCAAGAACACTGTGGTACTAAAGAAGGAAGGCCAATGGCATTGGCTTTGGGCCAAAGGCCCCCACCCTAGCTTCCTTCTCAAATTTCCAAATTTGCTGACTCCATGTCTTCCCTTCCATTGCAAACTCAGAATATACAGCCTGAGGTAAGAAGTCAAGGAAAAGCAACATTCATGGAGCATTCTAGGCCCTCCACTAGCAACTTTCACATTCATTATCTCTTTTAATGCTCATAATAAAATAGATGTCTCCAGCCCACCATTGGTGGCAATGGACTCAGCTGGTTCTCAGCAGTGCCACAGGCTAAATGACTCTCCATCTTATTTAGACTGCCCAAGGAACAAAGGAATACAGCTTTAAGGCCTGGCTGGCCAGACTTAGGGGAATGAGCAAGGGGCCAGGAAGCAGACATGTGCTATATTCACGGATTCACTGATGCCACGTCTAACCAACTGAATTAACTGGACCAGGTGGGCAAAATACCTTCCGATTCAGTTTAAGGATTCTTGTCTAAGTGCAGAGTTCCTAAGTCCCAGGGAACTGGGTATATCTTTTGACTATCATGGGGGCTCTTACTTCTTGTGAGCTTAAAGAAAAATGCTGCTATGCACAACATACCCTCTCTCTCTCTCTCTTTAATTAATAAGATACTCTTCTGAATCCCTGGAATAACTCCTTTAATCCTACCTGGAATATAGAAAAACATGTGCTTTGTAGGTGGCAACAGGAGAGTGCCAGGTAGGTAGTTTCTAGTTGTGTAAACAACTGTAACAGCCTCAGTTACTGTTACACTGCTAAGAGAAAATGTTTATTTTCAACTATGGAAAATGCCTGAACCCTCCTACGTCACATTCCTCAGTTTCTCTTTAAATAAGATTTGGGGACATCAGCAAAGTTATGAGGTAGAAACAAATTCAAAGGAGTTTAAGGGCCCAGATTCATTAGGTGACAACAGTAGTAGATGACATGCTCTGTAAGAAAGATGAGAAGAATCTCCTTGTTTCCTTCAAGGAGAAGCAGGGAAAAAAGGTAGATATTAGGAGCTCTAGTGGTGTAGTGCCTAAGGCATATGACTAATAATCAGAAGGTTGGCAGTTCAAACCCACCAGCCACTCCACAGAAGGAAGACTGGGCAATCTACTTCTGTAAAGATGTACCACCTCAGAAACCTGAAGGGTGCCACTATGAGTTGCAATCAACTTGATGGCAGTGAGTTTGGTTTGTCTGTTTTTATTAGAAGCCAGGAAGAAGTCCAACTACACCTTGCTCTGTGGTTTTATGCTGATACCAAATTCAAGATGACTGACTCTTCATCAATAGCCACAAAACCAAAACCAAACCCATTGCTACTGAGTCAATTCTGACTCCAGCAACCCTAGAGGACAGAGTAGAACTGCCCCATAGGGCTTCCAAGGCTGTAAATCTTTACAGGAGCAAACTACCCCATCTTTCTCCTGTAGAGAAAGCTCAGCAGCCAAATGAGTTAACCAGTGTACCACCAGAGCCTCTTCACCAACAGCCAGTAAATATTAATTCAAGGTCAAGATGCTGTCAATCTCTCTCAAATTTCCAACTCTCTCGACCAAAGTGCATGCAAAGAGTTCAATTCAATAGTGAATTTATCAGACATGCAAATTCAGCAGGATTTGCTGGATCTTCAAATTCAGACACTTTGAAGAACTGAAGGGTCTGTGACCACTGTCTCTCACTGAAATCTTTCCGACTTGCCCATGATTCTCTTAGTCTCTACTCAATCCATAACTGTTCCAGGTTGAAATAACTATACCATATTCTAGTAATTCTTTTCTTTTTCTGGGGGGAAAGTGGGAAAGATGTCTATCAACTATTTTCTGAATTCAGGTTCTAATTTTAAGGGGAGAACAAAACCTTTAGACTCTTACTGTAGGACTACCTGACCTGGGGATAGTTACGGAGCCCCTCACATATATTTCTTCATTTGATCCTCACAATCAGCCTCCAAGATACATGTAATTATCCCCATGACACAGCCAAAGTACCTGGGCTTCTCAGAGGCCTTGGAATCATGTTATGATGTATTATGTCAAGCCCCGATCCCTAATTGTTAAACTCCTTACAGGCTTCCTACTGCTCTCAGGACAGAGCTCAAGTTTCCACACAGCTCACGAGATGGTCTTGCTACCTCCATTGTCTTTGCTCTTGCCACTCCCTGCTTATGCCCCAGCCCCCAGTCCCATGGACGCAAAGGGGCGCCCGGGGCTGTCACTGCCTCCTGGCCTTTGCACACATCATCCCAATGCTCTTCCTGGAACTCCTTCCACCCGGGAGGAGCCTGGGCTAAAGTGCTCAGGTTCAACACCTGCCCCTGGTTTCCTATCTGTGAGAATTCAGACACGTTTCATAATCCATCTGTCTGTCTATTTCTTCAGCCCTAAAATGGAGGACATAGTTCCTACATCATATGCTGGTTTTGTGGACCAATGAGCAATTGCATGTAAAGCATTCAGAACTGTGCCTGACACACTGTTACTCTTCATGCCCCTGTGGTTGTTGAATGCTATCGAGTGGATTTCAACTCACAGCAACCCCCAGTGGCAGAGCAGAACTGCCCCATGGGGTATTCTAGGCTGTGGTCTTTACGGAAGCAGACTGTCAGGTCTTTCTCCCGTGGAGCAGGTGGGTGGGTTTGAACCGCCAACCTTTCAGTAAGCAGCTGAGCACTTACCTGTGGCTCTGCCAGGGCACCTTCTGTGCTCTTAGCACATTTACCCACCCTGCAGCACATTCCCTCTCGACTCTGTATCTCCTGTAAGTTCCCTGGCAGTGGGAATGGGCTGGTTCACCTGGAAGTACCTCCGTGCCCAGCATGCTCCTTTCTCCAGAGAAGGAGCTCAATAATAAAGATCTGTTCAACGGAATCAGAGTGCTTTCTTTCAACTTTCTGATTAATGATGAGTGTATTTTATGACTTATTACTCATAGTATTCTACCTTATGAGTATACTACCCCTGGACATTGCCAAACTTCTGTGTTGGCACCTGAACTGGGAGGCACTAGGCCCTCAGTGACGACCTGCTGATAAACCCTGACATCAGCACAAAAGGACTAGAGCTCATGCTCTGTGTCCATGATCACCTCCCACGAGGTCCTCAACTTTCTGAGCCTCAGTTTTCTCAGCTGGGGGACAAGAAGATCCACCTCACAGGGCTGTTGTGAGGACCGACAGATACTATGTATGGAAATAGTACATCAACAGTGAAACGCCAAATAGAAGGTGTTTGTATTAAATGCTGCCAATCTGGTAGCATTCTACAGTGTGCCACCAGCCTGGGAAATTTCATCCACCCCAAACTAGTTTCAGAAAACCATTCTAGCCTAACCTGTGAATACAATTTTAAAGAAGAATGTAAGAAAAATGTCCATTTGCCAATATTTGAAAAGCCTGGATACTTCGTTCTTCGAACTGCAGCTTTTGTCTGAGGTGGAGTGAGAATGTGCCAAGCCCAGGCTCGGTGCCCTCCCTGCTGTCCCTGGGGCCCACTAACCTGTGGAGCTGGTGATGGGCACAAAGGCTGCAGAGTTAAGGTTGCTCTGGAGTCCATTCAGCTGCCATTCTGCGGAGAAGCCTCTGAAACACAAAGTAGCATGGTTAGACCTGCGGATGGCAAGTCACCCTCCAGTGACTTCACACTGTGTTTTGGTGTCCCTTCTCATGCGGCTTATTCCTCTGCTTAAGACTTTGTGCAGATATAATCTTAAGAGAGAAGGCTTTTCTGACCAGCTTGCCCCCTTATTCGGAAATGTTATACATTTTGCATTTATTGTCCATCTCTCCCCACTGGAAATGCAGCTTCCAGAAAGCATGGCCTTGGATTAATGCGATGTCTCCAATGTCTAGAACTGTGACAGGCACATGATGGGAGCTCAATAAATATTTGTTTGTTAAATAAATCAAGTTCCTGCTACTGACTTGGCAAATGTATTCCGCAACCCCCCATTAAAAAAACAAACAAACAAACAAACAAAAAACCACAAACAAAAACTAAAGTTCATGTGGCGCAGTGGTTCTCAATGGAATGAGGGAGGAAGGATGAGTTTTGTCCTTTAGGGAACATTTGGTGTTGTCTAGCAACTGTGGGCTGGAAGTGACAGCTAGTAGAGAGAGGCCAGGAATGATGCTAAGCATCTTACAGTCCACAGAACAGCCACCCACAACAACACATATTCCAAAATGTCAACAGGGCCAAGGCTGAGCAACTCCATCGGAGAGGCACCTCCCCTCAGGCCATCCTTGACAGGAGACAGGACAGAGTGCATCTCATTCTTTGTACAGAGGTTTCCCTGAATCTCTGCAATTCTGTGACTAGCCTGATTCTCCACAGACTGCGTCAGGCCTCCCTGTTACGGGCACTTACATTACAGCTCTAATTGTCTTTTATTACACTCATCAAAATTATACTTCTTACACTGTGTAACTGGTTGCTTAATATCTGTCACACTTGCTGAATGTAAGCTCCATGATGACAGAGATTATATCAGTTTTATTCAATGTTATATCCACAGCTCCTAACATTGCATTTTGCATGTATCAGGTATTTCATAAATTTTTTGGAAATAATCTCATCCCTCTCCATAAATACACCTACTTTTTGGATCAATGAACCTTAATTTTGGTGTTGTTAGCTGCCCATGAGTCAGCCCCTGACTCACAGCAACTCCACACACAAGGAACGAAACGCTGCCTGGTCCCGTGCCACCCGATTGGCTGGACCCTGGATGGCTGTGATCCACAGGGTTTTCAGCAGCTGATTTTCAGAAGGAGATCACCAGGCCCTTCTTCCCAGTCCATGTCAGCCTGGAAGCTCCGCTGACACTACTCAGCATCACATCAACACGCAGCCTACTCTAGCTGACAGAGGGGGGCTGGGCGTGAGGTGCAGTGGCCAGGAGTGAAACCTGGGTCTCTGGAATGAAAGGCAAGACTCTACCACTGAACCACCATGCCCTCACCTTGATTTCAGTTGACATGTAAATCTTCACGTGGGAGATTAAAGTTCTCATATGCTGAGTTCTTTTTTTGGTGTTATTGAGTAGCATCCAATGCAACCTTCAGTATCTCTCTCAACCATTCTATTTTTCCATTCATTCATTCACTCAAAAAAGATATTAAGCTATCTATTTCTGTGCTTGGTACTAGAAGAGAGAGAGACATTAAGTAAATCCACAGACACAAACTATGTGATAAATGCCAATGAAACAGAGGAATTGTATAGATGGTATCAGTGGCGGTCAAGGATGGTCTTTCTGAAAAAATCCTATCTAAGCAGAGTCACTAAGTTATGAGAAGTAGGTATCAGCTGAGAGTCCAGAGTCAGAAAGAGCTTTATTGCAGAACGCCACATGGAACAACTCTGAGGCAGAAGCGGCCTTGGAATGCCCTAGGAACCTTTGAAAATCAGCAGGGTAGGGTTGGCGGTCTAGTCAAGCAGGGTTTGCCAAACTTCCCTGACAGCAATCACTTGAGGGAACTTGTTAAAAGTACATTCTTCTAGGCCCCTCCCTTGTAGATTCTAATTCAACAGGTCTAAGATAGAGCCTACGGACTTGGGATCTGCATCACCAGAGGGGTTAGAGAAACATTGGCTGATAGGTAAGGATGAAGGTGGTATGAGGTGCAACTGGAAAACTAGGTACCCAGGTGGTTCTCATACCCCTGAAGGAGACATGCCCCTTGAGAACATACCCCCAGTAACACAATGGCCTTCATTTGCTGATGATGCTTCTTAGGAAGGTCTTCTCTTATAGCTTGTTGGTAAGCTTTGATTTGGAACCTACCCCCTCCTTACCACCTCCATTTTGAGGTTAGACTAACTGGCAAAGAGGAAGGACAAAGAAGCAGAGGGCTTCTCCCTTGTTCCATAAGCTTCAATTTTGGATAGACACATCCGAAATGCTTATGTGTTTTATTTCAGTCCCTTATGTACTCAAAGGGAGCTCTGGTGGCATAGTGCCTAAGGCATTTGACTGCTAACCAGAAGGCTGGAGGTTCAAACCCACCAGCCACTCCTTGGAAGGAAGGTTGGGCAACCTACTTCCATAGTGATATTGCTTCAGAAACCCAAGGAGGGTTGCTATGAGTCGGATACGACTCCATGGCAGTGAGTTTGGTTCGGTTGGGTTCTCATGTGCTCAGAAACCCACACAAAGTATCCATATGCTGATGACGGTGCTTCTAGGGTCCAAGTGGAAAAGGAAAAGTTCTGGAGAGCATAGGAAGGGCTCTTTCCTTTATAGACATTTAACACAGACCCCTTAGGGTCACTGTTCCTCCTTTAGGAGCAGCTGAGTCAAGGAAAGCCAAGGGCTGGTCTTGGTTTCACAGAATAGGCCCTGACTGGTAGTGTTAAAAATGAAGAAGTCAGGTAGAATCTTTGTGTCAGCAGAAGAAATGAAAGCTGAGACAGGGTGTTAGATACCCTAGGAGTAAGTAGAGTCCCTGGGGAGCTTAGACCAGTAGGAGTTCTGGGCCCCCAAGCTCCCTTACCTTCCCTGCACCTTTCAGCTCTGGCTTGATTTCTGTTCCTCCACAAGATCTCCTGATCTCTACATCCTCTTTGTATCACTCACTCTACTTCTATCCTCCTCCCTCCTATCAACTCCTATCACAGGCCTTGGAACTCACCACTGGTTCAGAACATGAGCGTTTCTAATGATTCCACAAGGAGCTCTGGGGGCACTGTGGCTAAAGCACTGGGAATCTAACGGGGCAGTCCTACTCTGTCCTATAGGGTTGCTATCAGTCGGAATCAACTTGATGGCAGTGGGTTTGGTTTTTTGGTTTTAATGATTCTATTGTGATAGAGAAACGTGTCCTTAGTTCTCCGTGGAAATGCTGTTGCACAGAATGGTTTGCATCAATAGTATTACTACTGTAGACACATTATGGATAAATATGTTGTCGTTAACATAATTTCCTTGGGAGAATACATTTCAACTTCTAGACAATCCACTACTAAAGGAGAACTTGAAAACACAGCTTGCCTAGAGTCTGGATGTTAATTTCCACTTGCTGATCTGTCCCTGCAGTGATTCTCTGCTATGTTCTCAGGAGTACTTGTGTTTTAGGAAACATTTATGTGAGAAGGTATGTATGTGTTTCCTTGTTCTCTTTAAGTCAGTTACTGTGCCTTTAACAAACCTCCCAGGGTTTGTTGTGAGGATTACATGACATGGTAAACTTACAGCACACGCACAGTGCACTTGCACTAGGAATGCTGATGGATACTCTGCATTCACTATAACCTACACAGGTACAGAAATATCAAATTGGATGAGTCACTGACTCAGATATCAATATGGAACATTAGTGCTGAAGTGTAGAAGAACAAGACAGGGAAATTAAAAGCAATTTGCTACTAACATCAAAACTCATTAATTTGCAACCTACAAAGCAGAAATCTCATAATCAATACTATTCTTAAAATTCTTCAGGAATTGCTCATGATCACTAGCCATTGTTGTTGTTGTTGTGTGCCGTCGAGTCCGAGTCAGCTCCAACTCATAGCGACCCCTCCTTGGGTTGCCAAGGCAGTATCACTGCGGAAGTAGATTGCCCAACCTTCTTTCCCAGGAGTCATTAGCCATTGTTGTTGTTGTTGTTATGTGCTGTCGAGTCAGCCCTGACTCATAGCGACCCCTCCTTGGGTTTCCGAGGCAGTATCACTACGGAAGTAGGATTGCCCAACCTTCCTTCTGAGGAGTGGCTGGTGGGTTTGAACTGCCAACCTTCTGGTTAGCAGTCAAGTGCCTTAGCCACTACGCTACCAGAGCTCCCCATTAGCCATTAGACAGATGCAAATCAAAACAACAATGTGATACCATTTTGCCTCAGTACTAGTCACAAAGTTCAACAAGATAGAAAATAACAAATGCTGGTGAGGATGCGGAGAGATTGGGACTCTCATGCACTGCTGGTGAGACTGTCAAATGATACAACCACTGTGGAAAGCAGTATGGAGATTCCTTAAAAAGTTATAATTAGAAATTCCATTTGACCCAGCAATTCCATTATTAGGTATATATCCTAAAGAAGTGAGAGCCAGGAGAAGAACAGATATATGCACACCCATGTTCATCGCAGCACTATTTACAATAGTCAAAAGATGGAAACAACCTAGGTGTCCATCAACAAAAGAATGGATAACCAAACTATGTTACATACACACAATGGAATACTATACAACACTAAAGAATAATGTAGAATCTGCAAAACACCACATAACATGGATAAACTTGGAGGATAGCATGCTGAGTGAAATAAGTCAATCACAGAAGGACAAATATTGTATTAGTCTGTTATTGTTAAAAGTCAAGGAAAGTTTATATATGGAAGGAAATTTTCTTTGTTGGTTACCAGGGGTGGGAGGGGAGAGGAAGAACACTTCTTTAGATAGGCAGAGACAAGTACTGATTTGGGTAAAGAGAAGAGCAATGTACCAAATGTAAGTGATCTACACGGTGGCACTGAGAAAGAGGAAGACACAGAGAGGTACATGGGAGGTACAGACAACAAAGATGAACCCTTTTGCACATACAGTACTGTGTTGTCAGTGATGGCAAACATTGATA